TGGAAATCTGCCCCCCCCCCCACCCCCTCTACCCCTCCACACACAGGCCCTATGCTGTAAGTTACATCACTGATGTGACTGGCATATCTATATCTTTAGATCTATAAAACTCCCCCCCCCCCCCCACCCCCTCTACCCCTCCACACACAGGCCCTATGCTGTAAGTTACATCACTGATGTGACTGGCATATCTATATCTTTAGATCTACAGTAACATATATAGGGCCTGCCCTCTATCCAAACTATCCACAAAAAAAAGATCAAGATGTCTCGGAAATGTATTACAACAAATAAGGGCGTGCCTTCTACTTCTAAGTAAATAAAACTGAGCCCCACCGGCACCTTCCTCCACCCCCACCCCACCAACCCCCCCCTCTCCAAAAATTCAAGTATTTATTAGTTTTGTTTAGCTAAACCCACCCACTTACTGTACTGTTTGACCACATTGCAATGACCTTTTTACCTTGTTCAACCTGTGTCCTGTGCTGCCCGCCAGGTGAAGATGGTTTGCATGAAGAAGAGTGTCCTCCAGGTGTTTGGCTTCTTCCAGAGACTCTCGTGCCTGGTCAAGGCTGGCATCGGCCTGGCCTTGATCGGGGGATTTCTTTTCCTGTACAGCAGAACTCGGAGATTTTTGCCCAAAAAGACGAAAAAAGTAAGGTGCTGTGCATTTTCATTACATCGTTTGTTCTTTTTTTCTTTAGGAATCTCAAATAGGCGGCATTAGATTATAATTAGACTTTTCATTCAAGGATTTTTTGCTGATATTGATCAACAAATTGGGAAAGGCCATTTGTGTTACTGACTCCAACATAATGTTACTGACACCAACATAATGTTACTGACTCCAACATAATGTTACTGACACCAACATAATGTTACTGACACCAACATAATGTTACTGACACCAACATAATGTTACTGACTCCAACATAATGTTACTGACTCCAACATAATGTTACTGACACCAACATAATGTTACTGACTCCAACATAATGTTACTGACTCCATATTGAATGTGATGGGCACCAGCGAGATAGGGACACTCCATATTGAATGTGATGGGCACCAGCGAGATAGGGACACTCCATATTGAATGTGATGGGCACCAGCGAGATAGGGGCACTCCATATTGAATGTGATGGGCACCAGCGAGATAGGTGGGACTCCATATTGAATGTGATGGGCACCAGCGAGATAGGGGCACTCCATATTGAATGTGATGGGCACCAGTGAGATAGGTGGGACTCCATATTGAATGTGATGGGCACCAGTGAGATAGGGGGGACTCCATATTGATTGTGAGGGGCACCAGCGAGATAGGGGCACTCCATATTGAATGTGATGGGCACAAGCGAGATAGGTGGGACTCCATATTGAATGTGATGGGCACCA